GACGAAGAATCATAATTAATTCACTAATCTTGTAGAAAAAAAAAAGAAAAAAGATACCAAAACAGATTTCAGTTATTCACCTTTGATGAAATAGTTGCTTAATACTTTGAGAATCTGAAAAAACAGGTGTGACTGTAAAGGGAAGTAACTCTTCTAAGACTGAAGTTACAGGTAGAGCCTTACATTCACGACACATAAATTATTGACATAACTTCAAATTTACAAAGATATACAAAAGTCTTCTGTAAAATTTAAAAAGTTTTTGACTATCAGTTGAACATGTAATGCTGAATTGCCTTATCTAACATTTATTTAACCCTAATTCAACTTCACTATAGCAAGCTTCTACATAAATTATCATTCATCAGAAGTATATCTACTGATAAAAATTATTGTATTAATCAACTAATAAACTGATGTCTGGTAATATGCCCACCCATATCTGTTGCTGTTCTGTTGGATCACCAACAATTGTTTTTCTTTGACCTATACTAAGCTCACTCCTTTCCTTTCAGTTTGAAGTTACATATGCTGACTCTCTTGATTTCGTGTAGAATATCCCTCATATCTCAGAATATTTGTCTATATTCTTGAAAAACATTTTCAGATAAAAAAAAGTGCAGTGTTGAAATAATGAACATTGATAAACCTCAACATGTGGCAATAAAACGATTCCTTTATATGGTATTTCATCACCAATATTGAATTCTTACTGCCTGAAAAATATTTTCAGAAATTATTCTATAAGTGATGATAATTTAGGATTATTAATTATCTACATATTTATGTGTGTATTTATATGTATAAATAACAACTTTTCTAGCCTTGACAGACTCATACTAAGTGTTGGTTTCCTGAACATGATAAAACATTGTTGCACTTTCTCAATGAGTGTTTTCTATAAGCACTGTGACTAACATAGGCTCCATGGTTACCATCACTTAACAAAAGTGATTGATAAAATGAAATAAAACTTGGTTTGTGAATGTTTTAAAATATACAAACCTAAAGTAAAACAATCCCAATAGGAACATTTTTCAGAAAATGACAAATGAAAATGATTTCAAAATTTTCTCCAACATATATTAAAATAAGATTTCTTCAACAGTCTATTTTTATCTTAAAACATAAGTGTGTGTATGTGAGTGAATTAGCTACATTTTATTGAGGCCAACAAGCATGATTCATATGAATACAATATATGATGATATACAATTTGAAGTCACCACTTCTTACGTGCAAAGTTGCAACTAATTTCATTCTACAATAATTTTTTTAGAGGTAGCATTTATTATCAATAAATTCAATTCAAAGCCATAAAAAGATCTTAAAAACTAAAAATTTGTTGAAGCATATTGAAAGTTTCCTGGACTCTCTAACGATACTTTCCATATTAAACAGTGCAGATACATATATTTACACCCCAAGCCTCCTGAGTGCCAACTACAAACAACAGCATGTAGATCTACAGAGGTAAATAGTAATAACTTCAGTATAAAGAAAATTATTTATTTGTACAAAAAATTCACATGTACTTCACTGACAATAAGAAATGAGGAAATTAAAAACAAAAAAAAAAGAAGTCTCCATTATTACAATCTTATTTCTCAATGATAAGCTCAGAGCCTTAGTCACACCATTAAAACCAACACTTTTCATATACAATGTATACTGGGGGTAAATGTATTTGACTGAATTGTCTTCTCTGTAGAAGTGTAAGATAGACATACAAAATTTGTTCTCAATTGAATACGATGTTTGTATATGCCAATGTCACATAAAGGTACCTGACAAATAGGACAAGACTTAAAGATTCTTTCAACCTTTGTAGGTAAGAACTGAAGTCTGAAATATGGTGCATGATTATTAAGTAGGCAAACACGAGACATGCTCTGTGTTTGCAGCTGAAAAATCTTTCCCTAAGGGATGGGAATCCCCTAGCTCACTCCCATGATTATCGTTCTCTAACCCAGCTGACTTTTGTGTCATTAATTGCAAAGATTGACATTTTTGGCATGACATCATTGTTACAAATCAATAAGAACCCATGTCCCAACCCTAGGTTAACACCGGGAAATCTCACACAGGTAAATTCTATAATTAACACAATATACTTTCAACTTAATGAGAATGTAAAGACAGTTAAAAATACTCTAAATATACTTCACAACACACACACATACATATATATATATATATATATATATGCTTAATTGTAAACTGATTTCAGTTCAAACCTAGTATACCAATCTCTTGTTAGTGATACTCACAATCAAGGCTGACAATAATGAGTACCATAAACAGGTGTATACTCAACACAGTTATGACAGACTTGATGCCAACATTCTCAAACACAAGTTGATATATAGATATACACCAAATGCCTTGACAGACAGAACACTGAATACCAGCAAGGTATGTTTACTTTAAAGCTTTCACTCATTTACTCAGATATCCAGCAATAAGCCCATACCTTGTAAACAGCCCACTCACATCTAGTATAGTGTGAGGAAAAATGCCAAGAAATGCTTTATCATTGTCCTGTAATATACACAATTCCTTTGTTTGATTGAGAAAAAAACAAGCCCAAATTCATTAAAACTAGGCCAAAATGTAAATAAAGAGAGATTTTCAAGAAGATTCCTGAAAAAGTACAAGGAGAATGAGACCAGGTGTTCCAGAAGGGTAAGTGCCTTCTGTTTCAATGACAACGCCTGCCATGTGAATCCTGCTCAGACTTTATGTATTGGTCCCCTCGGCTTATTGTAAGATCAGTACAGCAGTGTTAAGCAAGATATAAGAGAGAAAAAGATATCACAGTATGGAACAGATCTTGTTATATAAAGAAGACATTTAATGGTTTCCTGCATAATATCATATTTCATATTTAAGTATGACAGGATATCTATATTTTACATGAGTGAAAAATATAGATATCATCTGTGATATGAGTGAAATTTATGTGATATTTAATGGGAAACCATTAAATTTTCATAACATTTTCAACGAAACAACAAAAGAAACAAAAAACAAATCTAGACATAAAATCAATTGCCTCAAAAAAGTTCGGGAAATATTTGTGTGCTATTTGATGTCATATAGTTTGACTTTATGCTTGACAACAAGACTGCATTACATTGTATTGTAGCATTTTTTATGCTATTGTCTGGCAGGAATCACTCATAATTCTTTTTATATGCCAGAAATGTACACAGGAATCATTGGATTAAAAACCATCTTTTTCAACCTAGGCTTCATATGCATCTGGACAGGTAAATTACGGAATTTTCTGATTTGTCAAAAGTACATATATCCTTACTCGAAAAGCTATGTCATATTTCTTATATCATCAATCTTTGCAGTGACACTACAAGTATTTATCAAACTGATTATTCCTATATTTCACTGGCAAAAATGTGATAATACATATCAAACTTTGTTGAATGTTCTAGAAAAAGTGTGTCTGAATTTTTGTGCTTATTTTAATCAAAACATCAATTAATGAAAGACCTGAAATGTATGTTCTTTACTCAAGTGGAACTTATTTAACAGGGAATGTTATTCTACTATATCCATTTTCATGCATGCTGACCATTAAGACGAGATGATTGGGTCAAATGATGCATTGACTTGTTGGATTTGATGGAGGAACAAAGTCTGTACCATCTTATCAAACTCTAATGCTTTTTCAAATATTTATGCAGGAATTTAAATTTCTTTTGTTGATGTGATTACATACCGATATTTATTTGTTCTTTCACTATGGCCAAAGTTGTAATAGTTGAACATAGTTTTATCAAAAACCTTGAGTACATGCTTCAAGTTTGATGGACGAAGCTTGGAAGATAATTTTTATTGGCACGAGTGGAGAAAAACTGCCCATGGTTTATGTATGTGATGTGTCTGATAGTTTACAAAACAAAACACCTGATTTTGTTTCATAACAAATAGGGGGAAATCATTTGGATTGTTTGCAATTTGCTAATGTCAAGGTCACTGTAATGAACCTTTACTGGCGATGGCTGAGTAGCTAGTCTTAGGATTATTGGTGGCCAGAGTTGGTGTGTTACAACTCTTTTACTGTCGCCGTAAAAGACAAGCAAGATGTAGGACAATGGATAATTGCACTCCCCATCTTTCTAATGATGTGGTTCATTTGAATATGTCAGGCATGCGTAGGTGCATCCTTTCTGTTAGAGGAACATTGCTGTGTGGTTTACAGTCAGTCAATATGTCGAACTTTTCCAGATATGAATATTTCCTGAAGTAAGCTTATCTCAACAGTGAGGCATGTAGTTCTATTTAATTACTAAATATCTGAAACATACACCTTTCAAAATTTTCATCAGAAAACTGTTGTGTTGCTATTTTAACCAGGAAACCATGTCACTTTGTTTAGCCAATCACAGAATGAATCGGTCAATCTGCTCTCCTTACACAGAATGAATCGGTCAATCTGCTCTCCTCACACAGAATGAATCGGTCAATCTGCTCTCCTTACACAGAATGAATCGGTCAATCTGCTCTCCTCACACAGAATGAATCGGTCAATCTGCTCTCCTCACACAGAATGAATCGGTCAATCTGCTCTCCTCACACAGAATGAATCGGTCAATCTGCTCTCCTCACACAGAATGAATCGGTCAATCTGCTCTCCTCACACAGAATGAATCGGTCAATCTGCTCTCCTCACACAGAATGAATCGGTCAATCTGCTCTCCTCACACAGAATGAATCGGTCAATCTGCTCTCCTCACACAGAATGAATCGGTCAATCTGCTCTCCTTACACAGAATGAATCAGCACTTATTACTCAGAATTAATCAACTTTCTTCACAGCGAATGAATCAGGAATACATGTTTAACGTATCCGTGGATTTGAAACACCAACAGTCCTCACCAAGTATTGATATCGAGTGTACTACAATCCAGTCCTGATCTGGACACATCAGTTCACTCACAATATCACTGTGTTATAAGTAGTTGTATGGATGTGGAATCTATGCACTAGCAATGGCAGACTGGGTATATGATTCCACTGAATCTTGACTGACTGGACTATACTGTGAGTTTACTGAGCTGTCTGCAAACGTTGGACGTCTGTAACCATCATCATCCACATCATCAGCCAGACTATTTCGGTGGTCATCTGACTCGCTCTGTCGTGTAGTTGGTTCTGTGTTAATCGTCTGTCCTGTGCCAATAGTTGGTTCTGTGTTAATCGTCTGTCCTGTGCCAATAGTTGGTTCTGTGTTAATCGTCTGACCTGTGCCAATAGTTGGTTCTGTGTTAATCGTCTGACCTGTGTCAATCCCACTAAGACCAGAATCTTTTTCCTTTGTAACATCCAACTGTAATGAGCTGCTGCCATTTTGTTTATTAATGATATTTCTGACAGAAGTGGAATGTTGGTCAGTGGAATCTTGGTGTTGTATCAGTGGTGTTTTACACAGCTCATTTCTTCGTATCTGATGATCTGATAAGTCCTTAGTTATCTGAGGCAGTAAAGCAACTCTTGTTGGATCCTCAGAGGAATATTTGCTGTCCTCGCCTACGCCAGAATCAATACTGTTTCCTTGAAAATCACCACTGGTCTAAAAAACAAACAAAAAACTTTTTCATTCTGTCTTAAGGTTTTGTATTAATATGAAGAAGCCATGTCAAGTTCTCCGATTATGGGACAAATGAAAAGGACTCACTAACACACCAACATCTACTTAGACACTGTTAAATGTAAAGCGTGGTTTATAACAGGAGAAAAGATAGACTCAGATTTATTTCAATGATATTTCCTGGGACATTAACAATTTTGTAGGTCCTTGGCCATATCTGTTAATTTTTTGATAGTGAGATACATACTTTTGCTGTCACTTTGCCGACCTCTGGAACGTCAATCTCTTTTGTAGCTATATAAGCTTTGTGATTCACTTGCCTGAAAAATAAATACCAGCAGACAGAGTTACTTTAAGTGAGAAAAGTGCTGTCAGACAGACTTAACTAGGTACTGGAGGTACTCAGGTAATGAAATATTAACAGACTTAACTAGGTACTGGAGGTACTCAGGTAATGAAGTATTAACAGACTTGACTAGGTACTGGAGGTACACAGGTAATGAAATATTAACAGACTAGATTAGATACTGGAGGTACTCAGGTAATGAAATATTAACAGACTTAACTAGGTACTGGAGGTACTCAGGTAATGAAGTATTAACAGACTTAACTAGGTACTGGAGGTACTCAGGTAATGAAGTATTAACAGACTTGACTAGGTACTGGAGGTACTCAGGTAATGAAATATTAACAGACTTGACTAGGTACTGGAGGTACTCAGGTAATGAAATATTAACAGACTTGATTAGGTACTGGAGGTACTCAGGTAATGAAGTATTAACAGACTAGATTAGGTACTGGAGGTACTCAGGTAATGAAGTATTAACAGACTTGACTAGGTACTGGAGGTACTCAGGTAATGAAATATTAACAGACTTGACTAGGTACTGGAGGTACTCAGGTAATGAAATATTAACAGACTTGATTAGGTACTGGAGGTACTCAGGTAATGAAGTATTAACAGACTAGATTAGGTACTGGAGGTACTCAGGTAATGAAATATTAACAGACTTAACTAGGTACTGGAGGTACTCAGGTAATGAAGTATTAACAGACTTAACTAGGTACTAGAGGTACTGGTAATGAAATATTAACAGACTAGATTAGGTACTGGAGGTACTCAGGTAATGAAGTATTAACAGACTTGACTAGGTACTGGAGGTACACAGGTAATGAAATATTAACAGACTAGTTTAGGTACTGGAGGTACTCAGGTAATGAAGTATTAACAGACTTAACTAGGAACTGGAGGTACTCAGGTAATGAAGTATTAACAGACTTGACTAGGTACTGGAGGTACTCAGGTAATGAAGTATTAACAGACTTGATTAGGTACTGGAGGTACTCAGGTAATGAAATATTAACAAACTAGATTAGGTACTGGAGGTACTCAGGTAATGAAATATTAACAGACTTAACTAGGTACTGGAGGTACTCAGGTAATGAAGTATTAACAGACTTGACTAGGTACTGGAGGTACTCAGGTAATGAAGTATTAACAGACTTGATTAGGTACTGGAGGTACTCAGGTAATGAAGTATTAACAAACTAGATTAGGTACTGGAGGTACTCAGGTAATGAAATATTAACAGACTTAACTAGGTACTGGAGGTACTCAGGTAATGAAGTATTAACAGACTTAACTAGGTACTGGAGGTACTCAGGTAATGAAATATTAACAGACTTAACTAGGTACTGGAGGTACTGGAGGTACTCAGGTAATGAAGTATTAACAGACTTAACTAGGAACTGGAGGTACTCAGGTAATGAAGTATTAACAGACTTGACTAGGTACTGGAGGTACTCAGGTAATGAAATATTAACAGACTTAACTAGGTACTGGAGGTACTGGTAATGAAATATTAACAGACTAGATTAGGTACTGGAGGTACTCAGGTAATGAAATATTAACAGACTAGATTAGGTACTGGAGGTACTGATAATGAAATATTAACAAACTTGATTAGGCACTGGAGGTACTCAGGTAATGAAGTATTAACAGACTTAACTAGGTACTGGAGGTACTCAGGTAATGAATTATTAACAGACTAGATTAGGTACTGGAGGTACTCAGGTAATGAAATATTAACAGACTTAACTAGGTACTGGAGGTACTCAGGTAATGAAATATTAACAGACTTAACTAGGTACTGGAGGTAATGAAATATTAACAGACTTAACTAGATACTGGAGGTACTCAGGTAATGAAATATTAACAGACATAACTAGGTACTGGAGGTACTCAGGTAATGAAATATTAACAGACTTAACTAGGTACTGGAGGTACTCAGGTAATGAAGTATTAACAGACTTTACTCAGGTTATGAAGTATTAACAGACTAGATTAGGTACTGGAGGTACTCAGGTAATGAAATATTAACAGACTTAACTAGGTACTGGAGGTACTCAGGTAATGAAATTAACAGACTATTAACAGGTACGTAATGAAATATTAACAGACTTAACTAGGTACTGGAGGTACTCAGGTAATGAAATATTAACAAACTTGATTAGGTACTGGAGGTACTCAGGTAATGAAATATTAACAAACTAGATTAGGTACTGGAGGTACTCAGGTAATGAAATATTAACAGACTTAACTAGGTACTGGAGGTACTCAGGTAATGAAATATTAACAGACTAGATTAGGTACTGGAGGTACTCAGGTAATGAAGTATTAACAACCTTAACTAGGTACTGGAGGTACTCAGGTAATGAAGTATTAACAGACTAGATTAGGTACTGGAGGTACTCAGGTAATGAAGTATCAACAGACTTAACTAGGTACTAGAGGTACTCAGGTAATGAAATATTAACAGACTAGATTAGGTACTGGAGGTACTCAGGTAATGAAATATTAACAGACTTAACTAGGTACTGGAGGTACTCAGGTAATGAAGTATTAACAGACTTAACTAGGTACTGGAGGTACTCAGGTAATGAAATATTAACAGACTAGATTAGGTACTGGAGGTACTCAGGTAATGAAATATTAACAGACTAGATTAGGTACTGGAGGTACTCAGGTAATGAAGTATTAACAGACTAGATTAGGTACTGGAGGTACTGGTAATGAAATATTAACAGACATAACTAGGTACTGGAGGTACTCAGGTAATGAAATATTAACAGACTTGATTAGGTACTGGAGGTACTCAGGTAATGAAATATTTACAGACTTAACTAGGTACTGGAGGTACTCAGGTAATGAAATATTAACAGACTTAACTAGATACTGGAGGTACTCAGGTAATGAAATATTAACAAGGATTTCATGCAATGTGCTTATAATATGTTACATGTTTGTAACAATGAAACAGAATACCAGTGGCAGAAATCTTGTATCAATAATATCGATATGGCTACTCTGTGATTTTAGTTAAATAAATATAAAATTATTAATTAATATTTATCACAAAAATCTTTAAAAAAAATAAATGATATTTTCTATCATAAAACTTCAATCCATTACTAAAGCATTTTACTTGATTTTTTAACCCTACCTGACTCTGACAAACCTACCTGACTCTGACACACCTACCTGACTCTGACAAACCTACCTGACTCTGACACACCTACCTGACTCTGACACACCTACCTGACTCTGACAAACCTACCTGACTCTGACAAACCTACCTGACTCTGACAAACCTACCTGACTCTGACACACCTACCTGACTCTGACAAACCTACCTGATTCTGACAAACCTACCTGACTCTGACAAACCTACCTGACTCTGACACACCTACCTGACTCTGACACACCTACCTGATTCTGACAAACCTACCTGACTCTGACAAACCTACCTGACTCTGACAAACCTACCTGACTCTGACACACCTACCTGACTCTGACACACCTACCTGATTCTGACAAACCTACCTGACTCTGACACATCTACCTGACTCTGACAAACCTACCTGACTCTGACACACCTACCTGACTCTGACAAACCTACCTGACTCTGACACACCTACCTGACTCTGACACACCTACCTGACCTGACTCTGACAAACCTACCTGACTCTGACACATCTACCTGACTCTGACAAACCTACCTGACTCTGACACATCTACCTGACTCTGACAAACCTACCTGACTCTGACACACCTACCTTGACTTTGGTGACCCTGCCTTGCTTTGTTAACCCTACATAACAGTGGTTACCTTATATGACATTGGTAACCCTACATGACTTTCTACTTTTGACTGACTATGGTAACCCTACATGACTTTCTACCTCTGACTGACTATGGTAACCCTACATGACTTTCTACCTCTGACTGACTATGGTAACCCTACATGACTTTCTACCTCTGACTGACTATGGTAACCCTACATGACTTTCTAATGCAGGCTGACTCTATCCTGTAGAACTCCCAACACAGCTCAGTAAACTTACTGGACTTTACCCTCTGGTCTGATGAGGATGATAAACAGAGTAGAACTCCCACAACAGCTCAGTAAACTTACCAGACTTTACATTCTGTCCCAATGAGGATGATAAACTGGAGTAGAACTCCCACGACAGCTCAGTAAACTTACCAGACTTTACATTCTGTCCCAATGAGGATGATAAACAGGAGTAGAACTCTCACCACAGCTAAGTAAACTTACCAGACTTTACATTCTGTCCCAATGAGGATGATAAACAGGAGTAGAACTCCCACCACAGCTCAGTAAACTTACCAGACTTTACATTCTGTCCCGATTAGGATGATAAACAGGAGTAAAACTCCCACCACAGCTCAGTAAACTTACCAGACTTTACATTCTGTCCCAATGAGGATGATAAACAGGAGTAGAACTCCCACGACAGCTCAGTAAACTTACCAGACTTTACATTCTGTCCCAATGAGGATGATAAACAGGAGTAGAACTCTCACCACAGCTAAGTAAACTTACCAGACTTTACATTCTGTCCCAATGAGGATGATAAACAGGAGTAGAACTCCCACCACAGCTCAGTAAACTTACCAGACTTTACATTCTGTCCCGATTAGGATGATAAACAGGAGTAGAACTCTCACCACAGCTCAGTAAACTTACCAGACTTTACATTCTGTCCCGATTAGGATGATAAACAGGAGTAGAACTCCCACCACAGCTCAGTAAACTTACCAGACTTTACATTCTGTCCCGATTAGGATGATAAACAGGAGTAGAACTCCCACCACAGCTCAGTAAACTAGAACTCCCACCACAGCTCAGTAAACTTACCAGACTTTACATTCTGTCCCGATTAGGATGATAAACAGGAGTAGAACTCCCACCACAGCTCAGTAAACTTATCAGACTTTACATTCTGTCCCGATTAGGATGATAAACAGGAGTAGAACTCTCACCACAGCTCAGTAAACTTACCAGACTTTACATTCTGTCCCGATTAGGATGATAAACAGGAGTAGAACTCCCATCACTGCTCAGTAAACTTACCAGACTTTACATTCTGTCCCGATTACGATGATAAACAGGAGTAGAACTTTCACCACAGCTCAGTAAACTTACCAGACTTTACATTCTGTCCCGATTAGGATGATAAACAGGAGTAGAACTCCCATCACTGCTCAGTAAACTTACCGGAGTTTATAAAAAATCGCGAAGAGGATGATAAACAGGAGAAGAACTCCCATTACTGTTCCGATGATAATACCTATAGAATCTGCTTCTCCTGTCAAACAAAAACAAATGTGAACAAAGAGCTGCAAAGCATGGCATTATCCCCCACATCAAGCCATTTGTGTAAAACCCAAATATAATATATATATATATACCAGTATAACAATATGTGATGTCACTCAATTATGTACCGCTACTATCACCTGAATAAATGTAACGTCTTCTTTTGTCAATCATCAATTAAATTTCCTTGCATCTCCTCAATTAATTTTATATATCAACCTTATAGTATTATTTTCTACATCTTGATGTAGATCCTGTGTGTTTGACTGTTGGTATTTGAATAGAGAGAATTATGCAACACTCTATAAGCTCTGGAGTAATACAAGAAGTCACAAGAAATCAAAAAATTTGATGACAACAGAAAAAAGATAAATAATAAAATGTTTTGATAAAAAAGGCACAACTACGGCCTTAACCTTATATATACAGAGAGTTTTGTGGAGTTGAGGGAATGATTTCAAAGTTGTTTGTGTTTCCATGGTAACCAAAAGTTATAAAATAAGAAATGTCTTCAATAGCAAAAGGCACAACTAGGGCACTAACCTAATATATACAGAAAGTTTTGTTAAGTTGTGGGGAATGGTTTTGAAGTTGTAGGATGGAAAGGAAAGCAAACACTAATTTTGTGGTTTTTGGCTTTGTTTACGTGGTAACACAAAAAAAAAAAAAATTAAAAAGGAAATGTGGCCAATAGCAAATGGCATGACTTAGGTGCTAACTTAATATTTACAGAAAGTTTTGTGACGTTAAGTTGAATAGTTATGAAGTTACAGTCCAGAAAAGCCTTCAGACAGACGGACACATGTATGGTCAGAGCCCAAATTAACATCCCCTGCAAAATGCGTTTGCCCATGGGACCTGCATCAGTCATCTGTCTAATTTAGCATTCAGCCATTTAACAAAGAATTTCATATGTGACAAACAATTCTGAAATAATTTCCCTAATGGGTCCCAGTTTTATGGTCAAACAGAAATCAGATTCACTATTAATAAAAATGGGGCAGGGCCACAATTGGCTAGGTTGCGGGATGAGTGAAATGTTATATGGTATATATAAGACAGTTAAGGGTGTTTCATTTGTTGAGTATGTAGAATATTTGTTATAAGAGAGAAAGTTTGGTTGTATTTTATGAATTGGTGCAGAAGAAGTGCATTTGAAGAAAGAAGTTGCAGCCATTTTTGATTCAGAGATGTTCAGGAAAATAGACAATGGACATCTAGGGCCCCAAGGTGATTTATATGTGAAAAGATTCTTGTAGCAGTTTCTGAGAAACTGATAACAAGAAAAGTTTCAGAAAATGACCAAGTTCGAAAGCCCGTAAAATCCAGAAAAATGTCCAGAATGAATCCATAATATGAGGTGCACATCTTCAACATATATATAAATATCCTACAAAGTTTCAAGCTTCTATGTCAAAAACTCTAGAAGGAGTTGATTCTACAAAACTGGTACCCCTTTCAAACTTTATAGCACTCCTATTTAGCATTCATTAATTTAAATGTTTAAAACTCAGTTGTAATGATAGTCAAACTAATACTTTATTTTTTGCTTTCAAATGTGATTTACTGAGGTGATCTCATACAACTGCTTCTTATAATTCATGAATAATACATGACCCTTACCTGAAACTGAGGCACCCATATTACCTGGAGATCCAACAACCAACTTGGAGGCAATGCTCATTGGACCATATCCACCAGAAAATACCCCACGGACAGTACAGTTGTAGGACCCAGGGTCCAAAGAGGTAACTGAGAACTTCATGGGGCTGTCACTGGCAGTAATATTGACCTCTGGAAAAATCAATGTTACTTAGTCATTCAACATCAAAGAGCAGAGAAGTAGAAAACAACAGTAGTTGTACATTTCATTCCTAATTTATAGAAATGGTTTTTTGCTTACAAGGTGTTGAAACTAAATATGGAACAGACATTAACCTTCCCTAAATATTTGATGTTGTGATCCCAATAATACTGTCATATTTAGTTACAATATAATCAACTGATCAGAAGCAGAGCTTTTATATAGTAAACATCCAAAAATCTCATTCTGGTCCAATTAGCAAGCCTGTTTTCATCGCTTGATATCCAGCAATATTTTATACATAGCTATGGGGTTACAATCCGAACCTGAATGTTTGCAATTCTGATGACTTCATAGACCACCGAATGTTTTCTAAATTAAAAGTTACCTGTACAATTGTGTTTCCTACAGTAGATAACTTGATAGGCCAAAGCTGGGCTATAGTCCGGGGAGTTCGTCTCATAAGGACCCCAGGTCATGTTAAAGCCATTGGGTTCGGTGAGGGAAGTTTCTACTTCTGGAGGAGCATCTGAGGGTACTGCAAATATCATTTATTGCTAAAATTTAATTAATGATACATCATGTTGAGTTGTTTATCATATACTGAAACAAATTCTGTGTTAATATTGATCCATTCCACAGTGCTGGACAGTTTGTTGAAATCACTATAACACTGAACAATTGAAAAACAAAAATGATCAAGAATTCTACATGAAACAGCATACCTTTTTCCCAAAAGTTAAAGAATAAAATTGAATACTATGAATGAACTTAAGAGAAAACAATGTGACTTGTTACAAAGTTTCAAATGTGGAATTGTAGTTGCATTCTTGCATGCTGCTTTTTCATATCTTTTTTTGCTTTTGAGAGAGATAACTCCCAGACAAATCGTCACCAAACAATTGTTTCAGTTCCACAGTAATAGTGTGACAAGTATCTTTACATTATCCTCTGATTCTATAGACTGACAATTTTCCCAGTGTACACTGTAGGAAGGCGATACACACACTGTAGCTCCATATTTAAGGAAGGGTTGCCGCTGTTAAGCCCTTGCTTCCCCCCCATTCTCAACACACACCTGTGTTTTTAAGGACTCTCCACACATACCTCCATATTTAAGTAAGAGTACTGCTGCCTTCCCTCTCCACACACACATACCTCCATATTTAAGGAAGAGTACTGCTGCCTTCCCTCTCCACACACACATACCTCCATATTTAAGGAAGAGTACTGCTGCCTTCCCTCTCCACACACACATACCTCCATATTTAAGGAAGAGTACTGCTGCTTTCCCTCTCCACACACACATACCTCCATATTTAAGGAAGAGTACTGCTGCCTTCCCTCTCCACACACACATACCTCCATATTTAAGGAAGAGTACTGCTGCCTTCCCTCTCCACACACACATACCTCCATATTTAAGGAAGAGTACTGCTGCCTTCCCTCTCCACACACACATACCTCCATATTTAAGGAAGAGTACTGCTGCCTTCCACACACACATCTCCACACACACACACATACCTCCATATTTAAGGAAGAGTACTGCTGCCCCACACACCTCTCCACACACACATACCTCCATATTTAAGGAAGAGTACTGCTGCCTTCCCTCTCCACACACATACCTCCATATTTAAGGAAGAGTACTGCTGCCTTCCCTCTCCACACACACATACCTCCATATTTAAGGAAGAGTACTGCTGCCTTCCCTCTCCACACACACATACCTCCATATTTAAGGAAGAGTACTGCTGCCTTCCCTCTCCACACACACATACCTCCAAATTTAAGGAAGAGTACTGCTGCCTTCCCTCTCCACACACACATACCTCCATATTTAAGGAAGAGTACACACACACACCTGCTGCTGTCTGTCCTCTCCACACACACATACCTCCATATTTAAGGAAGAGTACTGCTGCCTTCCCTCTCCACACACACATACCTCCATATTTAAGGAAGAGTACTGCTGCCTTCCCTCTCCACACACACATACCTCCATATTTAAGGAAGAGTACTGCTGCCTTCCCTCTCCACACACACATACCTCCATATTTAAGGAAGAGTACTGCTGCCTTACCTCTCCACACACACACACCTCCATATTTAAGGAAGAGTACTGCTGCTTCCCTCTCCACACACACATCCACACACACACACACATACCTCCATATTTAAGGAAGAGTACTGCTGCCTTCCCTCTCCACACATACATACCTCCATATTTAAGGAAGAGTACTGCTGCCCCTCTCCACACACACATACCTCCCACACACACACACACATACCTCCATATTTAAGGTACCTCCATATTTAAGGAAGAGTACTGCCTCCATATTTAAGAGAGTACTGCTGCCTTCCCACACACATCTCCACACACACATACCTCCATATTTAAGGAAGAGTACTGCTGCCTTCCCTCTCCACACACACATACCTCCATATTTAAGGAAGAGTACTGCTGTCTGTCCTCTCCACACACACATACCTCCATATTTAAGGAAGAGTACTGCTGTCTTCCCTCTCCACACACACATACCTCCATATTTAAGGAAGAGTACTGCTGTCTGTCCTCTCCACACACACATACCTCCATATTTAAGGAAGAGTACTGCTGCCTTCCCTCTCCACACACATACCTCCATATTTAAGGAAGAGTACTGCTGCTTTCCCTCTCCACACACATACCTCCATATTTAAGGAAGAGTACTGCTGCCTTCCCTCTCCACACACACATACCTCCATATTTAAGGAAGAGTATTGCTGCCTTCCCTCTCCACACATACATACCTCCATATTTAAGGAAGAGTACTGCTGCTTTCCCTCTCCACACACACCTCCACTGCTGCTTTCCCTCTCCACACACATACCTCCATATTTAAGGAAGAGTACTGCTGTCTGTCCTCTCCACACACACACACATATTTTTAAGGAAGAGTACACACACACATGCTGCTGCCTTCTCTCTCCACACACACATACCTCCACATTTAAGGAAGAGTACTGCTGCTTTCCCTCTCCACACACACCTCCATATTTAAGGAAGAGTACTTCTGTCTGTCCTCTCCACACACACATACCTCCATATTTAAGGAAGAGTACTGCTGCCTTCCCTCTCCACACACACCTACCTCCATATTTAAGGAAGAGTACTGCTGCCTTCCCTCTCCACACACACATACCTCCATATTTAAGGAAGAGTACTGCTGCCTTCCCTCTCCACACACACATACCTCCATATTTAAGGAAGAGTACTGCTGTCTGTCCTCTCCACACACACATACCTCCATATTTAAGGAAGAGTACTGCTGTCTGTCCTCTCCACACACACATACCTCCATATTTAAGGAAGAGTACTGCTGTCTGTCCTCTCCACACACACATACCTCCATATTTAAGGAAGAGTACTGCTGTCTGTCCTCTCCACACACACATACCTCCATATTTAAGGAAGAGTACTGCTGTCTGTCCTCTCCACACACACATACCTCCATATTTAAGGAAGAGTACTGCTGCCTTCTCTCTCCACACACACATACCTCCACATTTAAGGAAGAGTACTGCTGCCTTCCCTCTCCACACACACATACCTCCATATTTAAGGAAGAGTACTGCTGTCTTCCCTCTCCACACACACATACCTCCATATTTAAGGAAGGGCACCGCTGTTCCCCACACTATTCCACTGCTGACTAGTAAACCCTTGTTTGTCTGTACTTCAACTGACATCCCAAACCTGTAGTCTCTGAATGATTCCTCTAAATTCACTTCTACCTCCATTGTTGATTTGCGTACAACCTTAACCTGTAGCTCCCCCTAAAGTTAAGGAAAAAAACCCAAATCAAACACACTAATTCACGTTATTACTTAAATAAGAGAGATTTTGAAATACAAACCAATAATGCTAAGAGAAACATTGAGAGTGAGATATCCTTGAAATAATAGCCCTGTCTCCATAACACATAATGTCACAGACAAATTAGACTTACATTACACAGATTTAAACTTTGACAGGACATATATTTTATAGAGATACAATATGAAAACATTTCTGTCTGACTCTGCTTCCTCTATCTATTCCCTATCTGGATAAAAACATTAAAAAAAATATTTTTCTTAATTTTAATTTTAAAGAATGTTTTCATTTCACAAGTTTATTTTCATTTTCTTTACCATTTTCTTTTATTTTTTTTTTGTAACATTTCTAAAAAAATTGTCCTTAAAACTATTAGCCATGGGGAAACAACATTATTTCAGTCAAACAGCTGTATATTTAGATAATCTACATTGCTGTGGTAAGTGCTGGTCAGTACTTTACCTGACAGAGGTCAGTGTGTGTTTTACGACGACACCATACAATGCTGTAGTTAGTTATAGATCTAACAGTTTTTGCGTAAGCTTGTTTCTGGTCTAACCATGTAATTCTAACATATGTGTCATTCAGCGCTTCCACATGAAAGTCCCTTATATGTTTCACAACAGGCCCTGTGAAGAAAACAAATAACATGAATTTTCTTTTCAAAAGAGTTCCAAGGTTTCATACAAAAAGAGCCCAAAATTTATAATACAATGTTTTTTAATTATTTGAGGAAAATAATCCAAGATGGGTCTGTCCTCTGAGCAGGGACCTCTCTGTCCTCTGAGCAGGGACCTCTCTGTCCTCATGCTGACCAGGCAAATTCTTTCATGAGGGTTGATACATCTTAGACCAAAGAACAAACAAGAATGTATTAGCCTATGCCATACAGTCATTTCTATATGTCTCTACTCGTATAAACTACAAGGAAAGCATGGTAGCATGCCACCAATGAAAGGTACGACACTATACTTACTTTGGTTAACAGGCAGAAGAAATAGTTGTGAGGAGTCATTGTGAGAATATCCCTTGACATTTTTTAGGGCCAGCTCCACACGGTATTTACAAGTGGTACACAGTCCATTTATTATTAAAAAATTCTGTGGAGTATTTGCATTTTTAACTGTGGAAAAAATTGGTGGAACTGTCATGACCTGTGTCCCATTTTCCAGTAGAAAGCTACTGGCATTGTAGAGTTGAATACGTCCATTCTGAGCCATTTCTGGAATATTCTGTAGAGGAAAATGATTTTGATATCTCCATGATAACAATGTCACAGATTACTATAACTTTCCTGAATTTGTCAAATATAAAGTGCAATGATTAAAGATGGCCTACTGAGATATTCTGGACTTTTTCTGAACAAAGAATCCCATGTAATAATCTGATCACATGACATCAGGGCTGGCTGTTCAAAGGCTGGTTAGAAATAAGCAGGAGTTAGAAAAAAATTATTTACTTAATTAATTAAACAAAAATGGAGACATTCTTGATGAATTCACAACTGTAGGTTTGTTGAAACAAGTCACACTGTAATATATTTGAATGATAATTTCACATTCAACACTTTTAGTTTTTAAGTGGAAACAATTCAAATATTTCACTAACCTTTGGTTATCTCTAAATGACCTTTGAGCAAGCGGGACCAGAAAGCTACAGAGATTTTATTTTATTTGGGATTAGTTTTCATATCTGAAGGTCATTTTAATCATAAACAAAAAATCTGTTTTAGCTCAGTAACTCAAGTTTCAATATAATTCATTATAATTTGGGATTGGTTTTCAGATTGTTTATTTGGTTTAAAATCCCAATGAACTAACAGTCAATCACTGAACAACAAATGTCTATTCCATGTCATCCACAGCAATTACTGTAAAGTCTCTTGCCTAAAGACTCAACCATGTCAGAACAGAAGAGCCCATTTCTCAGCTTCCTGAGAAACACCTACTACCTCTGGTAGAGATTGCAGAACTACACATCTCAGAATTCCACTTAAGGTTATGTTTGTCAGTGCTCTAACCAACTGAGCTATCGCAGTTGATTTCAGATATGAAGATCAAGGTCAGTGTCACTATAAATAAAAATCCGTTTCTGGCTGATAGTGAAAAGTCAAGGTCACTATGTATTGAAAACTGGACCTTAATCTCAGCAGCACTGTTCATGACGACAATCTACTTCTGTGAAATTCTTGCTTTATGACAAGGTTTCAAATTGGTGCTGTATTTAGGAAATGACCTACAAATATTTGTGTTAAAGTTTAGAAACTTTCAAAATTGTTTATGAAAATGAAAAAAAAAGACATATGGATGATAATCCTGACAACAGGATGCACAGCTAATACAAAACATGGAATAGACCAGTCAGTTCATAGGAAAGATTTAAAGTTCACAATAACAAAGTCTATAACAGATCTATGTGGCTTTCTTTACCTTCCAGTAGAGAATTATACTTGTGTTGTTGACACTCTCATAGAATCCTGGCTGCATCTTTGGGTTAAAGAGGGGCACTGTTAAATAAAAACACCAAGCAAGGATTAAATATTCTTAGCTCAGATTACAAAATGACTAGTGTTAATGATTCAATTTTTTTTCTATCAGGAGAGTGAAAATTTTTTTCCAATTTACAGTGTAATCGTTATTTGTTAACATTTTAATATGTTTGATACATAAATTCCTGTTTAAAATTGTCCGAGTATGATCTTACCCAATAGATCTGTTTTATCCTATGACATTGTTGAATATTTACAAAAACAGACCTTAAGTTTGTGTGTCAAACCCAGGGACACTTTTTAACATTGTCAAACCGTGGAACATTTTTCAATATTTACACAAATAGATCTAAAGTAGGTATGTCATACCCCGGTATGTTGATATTGTCATACTCTGGAATATTCCCAAACACTTACAAAAATAAAACTACAGTCTGTATGTCAAACCCCAGGACAATTTCAATCCTTACTATAGAAATGGACCTGAAGTCAGTATGTTGTACCCTGGTACCCTTTTTAACATTTACAAATATAGACCTAGTCAGTGGATATGTCATACCCTGTGGCTGAGTTGTGAAGGTGATATCAACAGGGTCACTGCAGTAACCTGACACACTGTTATTATAGTATGGCTGTGCCACAATGCTGACATTGTACTCTGTATCTGGCACTAGATGTGACAACACTATTCTTCCAGATTTATTTTCCTCCTCCTGTAAAAACAAAGATATATTTTCTATCAAAACTAGCAAAAAATATTTTCCATCAAAAATTACATATGGTATGTAAGTGAATGCTTAATGTGAGGTTTCAAAATAACCTAACGAATAAATACAACACCTTGTATGTGCTATAGGTAACCTCTGTAGTTGTATGTTTACAAAAAGACGTTTTAAGTTCAAACATGAATCATAGTGCCCATTTTTTGCCAAAAATGAAAAAAAAATATATGGTTTTTGGGGAAAATGCTACGATATCATTTCTCCATTTTTTAAAAGAAAACTAAACATGAACATGCTGATAATAACATGTTGGATATCATATATGCAAAGCAAGAAGTCACAGTTTTGAATACATTGAAAACAGGAGGTAAAAATGTGATGGATCTTAATAATGATCATGCTCTTTTTACCTGAAGGTTAGAAATACAACTTCCTATTGGAGAACATTCGTAATTATATGCTTAAAAACATCTTCAAACAGTATAAAATAAATTGCCCAAAAATAGCAATTAGGAGTTTTGTGCAAAGTAATTAAAATTGATTGACAATATTGCTATGAATACATTAAGGAAAAGCATTGAAATATTGTTCAGTGAACAAGAGGCCCAAGGGTCCTGCACTGCTCACCTGGCTAATTTAGCTATTCAGCAATTTAATAAAAAATCTAAAATATGACAAACAACTTCGGATATAATTTCCCTCTTAAGTCATGCCCTTGTGGTCGAACAGAGGTCAGATTCACTATTGAATTAAATTTGAATCAATATTCTTACAAGAATGCTAAATGATAGATTCAAGTTGGTATACACATTAAACCTAATCTGGAATCTAATAAGGCTTCTTGGTCTTAGAATTTGATTGGCCATGTCAGTGTCCCTCTACATTGTACAGTAATGTAGTTCTAATTATCCAAGTCGACCATACCTAATGCCTTAAAGATGAAGGTTGGTAGCAAAATCTACATTACTTGAGGTTTTTCTTAAACCTTTTTACTTTTGGATGCAAAGGCTTACTGGTTTCCAAATGCATGTAGTATCCTAAATAGTACAGGATACTGCCTATTAGGGCACATACCCCCATGGTTTTCTGTCCAGTAGGACACCGTTTTCATTTTGACATCTTGCATCTTGCTCTTGTGTTCTAACATATTTGGGTCCTTGAATTCCATTAAGGCAGGTTGTTACCAATCTTGCGAGTGTCTCGATGACATCAATGAAACAGTTGTTTTGAAAAACAGCCATTGCTTAAATAACCTATTTACCCATCTGGTTTACTTATGGATCTTTCAAGGTTGGCTTGTAGGTCATCATGTTGAGTGTGCCCAGGTTTTAGATACACACCCTATGACTCCAAATCTGGCAAAACATTCCTAAACCCTCAATCAACAAGGTCATCTTCCTCCAGTCAGGAAAGACTATCCATGATGGCTTTCGTAATCTTCCAATCATTATTGCTTCCAAGAAAAGATCTTACTGTGTCAGCCTGGGCTATGCTCATGAACTTTGCTTCTTCTGACCACAGTAGGAGATTCTCTAGAGCTTGTGATCAGTCAAGTATGACAATCGCCCACTGGTCAATAAATGTTTCTTGTTGTGCTCCAGAATATGTTCTCTTGTAAGATGCTCATGTCCAAGGAATAAAGCAACAATGGTTATTTCTAATGCCTTTACTATGGAATGAAATGTTTTCAATATACAAGAAATTGACATGTTTAAAATAGTTGAACAGGTGAACTTTGACCATGTTGCTGAGTTCTGACCTTACACTACAGGTGAACTTTGACCATGTTGCTAAGTTCTGACCTTACATTACAGGTGAACTTTGACCATGTTGCTGAGTTCTGACCTTACATTACAGGTGAACTTTGACCATGTTGCTGAGTTCTGACCTTACATTACAGGTGAACTTTGACCATGTTGCTGAGTTCTGACCTTACATTACAGGTGAGCTTTGACCATGTTGCTGAGTTCTGACCTTACATTACAGGTGAGCTTCAACCATGTTGCTGAGTTCGGACCTTACATTACAGGTGAACTTTGACCATGTTGCTGAGTTCTGACCTTACATTACAGGTGAGCTTTGACCATGTTGCTAAGTTCTGACCTTACATTACAGGTGAACATGCTGTTGCTGAGTTCTGACCTTACATTACAGGTGAACTTTGACCATGTTGCTGAGTTCTGACCTTACATTACAGGTGAACTTTGACCATGTTGCTAAGATCTGACCTTACATTACAGGTGAGCTTTGACCATGTTGCGGAGTTCTGAGCTTACATTACAGGTGAACTTTCACCAAACTTATGACCTCTAACTTAAACTTACAGGTGAATTTTGACTGTAAATCTCTGACACTGTCTTCCCCATGAACATTGACCATTCTGCTGAACTCTGACCTTACCTTACAAGTGTGCTTCAACTTATAACCTACAATCTTACCTTGCAAGAATGCCACTTGGAGCAGTAGTGTAAGTTGTAGAGAAGATTCTTGCTATTAGTGCTGTGGCTCCAGGTGAGACTGGCAACTGTAGCATTAGCCTGGTAGGCGACATTTGTTACCTTCTCAGGTTTAACTGTGAACATGAATACGAAAATGTAAATCACAAAGAATTTCACTTTCAATAGAACTAATAACACAAGGGGCCTGAGAGGCCTTAACAGTAACCTGAGATTTGAAGAGAAGAGGCCATTAACTTCAGATATTGTGACATTGAAACTTTGCTTAAATATTCTGCATTTTTCTTCTGTGGAAGGAAAAAAGAAATCCAAATGTATGTCTGCACAAAAAGTTCAAGGTTTTGGAGAAAATTGGTTGTATTCCAAGTGCAAATGATCTTTTACCTTTGACCTCATGACCATGAAAGTTTGTGAAGGCAAACCTTGCATCAATCCCTACAACTTTTCAAAGCATATGCCAATACAAAAGTTGCACTTATTCGCTTTTTCAGGATTTTTGCAATGCCAAACATTTGCCCCATCCCAGGTAGCGGAACAATATACGCAGAGGCCACAGATTTTGCAATTTCTGTAGAGCATATCTAGAACTTACAACAATACAGAAATATTTGTTTCACTAAAGTACCCCAGTAGAGAAGAAAAATTATTATTATTTATAGTTTTCCTGCGCCCCCTGAAGATTGGGGACCATTAACTTTGCACTTTTGATGCCACTTCAGGTATTGATGCCATCGACCAAGTCTGGTTAGAACCCGCCAATGTGAACCTTGAAAAATGTCAAAAATGTAAAAAGTTAACACGCAAGGGATGAGGCATGCTGCCAGACGAAATATGATCGCAATAAGTCACCATGAGCTCAGGTGACCTTAAAATAGGATTTCTCACATGCTTGGATAAATTAAAGTTTTTTCTTATTTGCACACCATCATGTCTCCAGATCTGCCCCCATTTGTTTGAAAAATATTAATGTTCCTGTTTCAAAGATCTGATATCACATATATATTTGGCTTTATCAAAGATACAAGTTTATCTTCTTTCTAATGGATTCCTAGGTGACAGCAAATGTTATTGTGTTGTTGTCTCTAACACAGCAATATATATTGCCTTACATAAAGGTTTAACAAGAAAGAAATTTCAATTCCAAACATTGCATGACTTTCATTTATCCTGGATATGTTTGATATCATTTCTGGTAATATTGCCTCTTATTTCGCTATATTGATAGTAATATCAACAGTGTCTCATATGTCAATATCCAACGTTTACTAAGTGGTTTGCACAACAAGGAAGTAAACATATACACAAATTTTTTCAATGATCCCTTTGGTAGTTCTTGGAAAAAGCAATAATAAATTCAAAAATAGAATCCAAAATGGCTAATCAAACTTAAACATGGAACATACAACTAAGAAACATAATGAACATGTTCATAAAGTTTCAAGAAGATTCTGTCTTTGGTTATTCAGAAATAGTGTTAACAAACTGCAAATGCAAAGTCCAAAATGGCTGCTGGTCACCATCTTGAGAATTTGATTGAAATAAAAAAGTTTCATGCGAGAAGATAATCTTTATATGCAGTATTGGAGAAATAAAAACAAAGTGAGAAGGGCTCGCATAAATACTGGCCATGACATATCTTGTACACCAGGATTTATTAAAAAGAGATCAAGAGTGACCTTTGACTTGAGGCAATGACCCACGACCTCTAATAAATAATCAGGTGTAGAACATGATGATGTTCTGCTACATTGGTGTAAATATGAACTGAATCTGTTGAGGGGTTCATGAGACATCTTGTACACAAATGTTTTATTTCAATTGTTGTCAAGTGTGACAATTTAACTATGAAGAATGACCTCCGACATCTAATCAGGTATAGAATTAGACAATGCACTGCTATGGTGTGAATATGAACTAAATAAGGTGTGAGGTTCATGAGATATCTTGTACACAAACTTTGCAAGCATGCATCAAACACATACATGCACATACAAATTGATTCCTACATACCTTCTCACCTTTACTAAGTAGGGAGGAATAATAAAGACAATTGGGACTACCTAAGAGATGGACAGGTCATGGATGAAAAGAAACTTAAAAATGCCAAGACGATAATGTGTTTTAATTAAAAGACAAGGAAATTAAGAAGGAAATCCTGCAGAAATCTTGGCACTTAACATTGTGTGATCTAAATTATTGATTCTAGGAATGTTTTAATCTTTTCCTTCTTCTACTTCTTTGCCATTTTAGTGAAATTATGTTTTCAATGACAAGTGAATAATTCCTGCAGAAACCTTATTAAACAAAGGAAACTATCCGCTAATTTCTGACAAATGGTAACGATCAAATGGATATCTGTGAGCCATCTGTATGTCCAATCAGTTAAAAATTAAACCGACATTTCTAAAGAAAAAGTAATCAGTACAATCTATGGCTACCACAATCCATGATGGCTGCCTTCTGGCTCTTTGTATCCATTTCAAAATTAGTTTAGCCAAATGTAAGACAATGAGGGACCTACAGAGGATATTTAATGACAATCCACCAGATACTATTTGAAGGAATAGCCATACAAAATTACATCTTTCAAAATTCCAAAATAGAAACCTTCATACGATATTTGAGCTTTTCAAGAGAATAGCGATGACAGACTTCCTATCAAGAAATTTTCTTTTCCATCTTATCCTCGAAAATTGTTTGGCACAAGTAGAGACCAACAGGAGTTTTAGATCGGTATCTGAGAGAGTGATAAGAAGCTTTAACTTTTGAAATCAAAGATCATACTCTCAGCCATCTGTTAATAATTTTGATTTTCTAATCATTCCTGAAAACAGTTAGGAACAGAAAGGAACCAAGGGGAACATGGCTACAAGATTTAAGGACGAATTAAAATAACTGTTTGTCCACAGATGGTGGATGAAGTGGGATTTGAAAAACCCAACATCTGTTAACAATGGACTTAAAAACAGAAACATTGACTGTTTTGGTTCAGTTTGAATATCTACTGTGAATGGACAATGAAATGTTTCTGTTTTAATTTCTTATCCCATTGGTATATCAATTATAACAGCTTAATACTCCAATTTTTTTGTTACATTTTCATTTATCAGATATGAACAGCAATCACTTCGCTGTGTAGTAACAGTGTTTCTGCACAAATAAAAGGTATTTATATACATAATATTGTTGATTTTCGAACAAGCTTACCTGGAGGTTTTATTTTAAGGATATTGACAACAGGTTGGTCGTCCTGTCGCTTATCGTTTGTGATATTGATACGAAAAGCAAAGACTCCAAATTGAACAGCTGTCCAAGTACATTTGGCTCCAACAGCTGTGGTCTCCAAATTAGGACATTTTGACCACATGGTGTCACTGAAATATCAACAATCAATAAAATGACAAAAAAATTCAATAGTTTTGAACATACATTGTACCTGATATCAATAACACATACCTGTTAATTTTTAAAAAAGTAGTAATTATGTAAGACAAACCTTCATTACACTGAAAAACACAGCCACCTTGACATTGATTAAAGTCAAGGTTGTTACTCACACTGTCCATTCCCAAGTGATGTTGATCTGATTACTGCGGTAATGTGTTCCGTAGTTAAGATGACAGATGAGGCGTTTCCAGTTGTAATTAATACAAGACAGGTTCTCAGGTGTTTGTGGTGGACCTATCAATAGACAACATATAACACTCCAGTACAAGGTATCACAACTCATGGATTCCAGTAATATCATGCATCAATACAAATGTGAAATCAACAAAAATTACTTCCATGGAATATCTTAAAGTTATTATTATATGCATAATTACAAACTACTTTGGTTTTAACGATGTTTTATGGGTGTTTGTTTGAAAAATGTTGAAGTTTATATCAAACAAACATGCCACAAAAATGTTCTTAGTAATTGTGTAGTTATTGTCCTCTTGAATACCTTGTCATCTTTTTACTTGAATATATTTAATGTTCTATTTTAACTGCCAATTATCCAGTAATGAAAATTTTATTGTTTCAAAAGTAAAACCTGTATGAATTATACACCAGTGAGACTGAGTTTAGTTATCACACTCTGTTATTTTGTGTTCCATCAAAGGAAAACAAAAAAGTTTTTAATTATCTTAACAAAAAACTTCAAATCTCAAAGGTCAAAATATTGCATGTAAAATAATTCAATTCATCAACAAAGAGATTTGAGTGAAATACCAAAAGCATTCAAGATTTGGAGCTGAAGGATCAATTATGCTGAATTATTTCTCAAAAATATTGTGATTATCACCAAAAAAGAAAAAGAATTATTACCATCCCACAAAATAATTAGGAAAAAAGAGTTTCAATTTCTTGGTATAATTAATAATATTGGTAGTTTCCTCACTGAACAACTTAATGGAGGCCCATCACATACCATCCAAAACAATCAGGTAAATTGTCTTCCCCAAGGATACAACCACAATAACACAGACCACTATGTTTCTCAGCTTCTTGGTTGGTCATAAAATCAATTATCCCTAGCAAAGATGCACAACTAAAGTAGTCAAAGAGCTAGTGTTTCAACCAAAATAGTCCCCATCCAAAGTAGTCCCTATCCAAAGTAATCCCTATCCTATCCAAAGTAGTCCCTATCCAAAGTAATCCCTATCCTATCCAAAGTAGTCCCTATCCAAAGTAGTCCCTATCAAAAGTAGTCCCTATCCAAAGTAATCCCTATCCTATCCAAAGTAGTCCCTATCCAAAGTAATCCCTATCCTATCCAAAGTAGTCCCTATTCAATGTAGTCCCTATCCAAAGTAGTCCCTATTCAATATAGTCCCTATCCTATCCAAAGTAGTCCCTATCCAAAGTAGTCCCAATCCAAAGTAGTCCCTACCCTATCCAAAGTAGTCCCTATCCAAAGTAGTCCCTATTCAATGTAGTCCCTATTCAAAGTAGTCCCTATCCAAAGTAGTCCCTATTCAATGTAGTCCCTATCCAAAGTAGTCCCTATCCAAAGTAGTCCCTATTCAATGTAGTCCCTATCCAAAGTAATCCCTATCCTATCCAAAGTAGTCCCTATTCAATGTTGTCCCTATTCAAAGTAGTCCCTATCCAAAGTAATCCCTATCCTATCCAAAGTAGTCTCTATCCTATCCAAAGTAGTCCCTATCCAAAGTAGTCCCTAAGTAGTCCCTATCCTATCCAAAGTAGTCCCTATTCAATGTTGTCCCTATTCAAAGTAGTCCCTATCCAAAGTAATCCCTATCCTATCCAAAGTAGTCCCTATCAAATGTAGTCCCTATCCAAAGTAGTCCCAATCCAAAGTAGTCCCTATCCTATCCAAAGTAGTCCCAATCCAAAGTAGTCCCTATTCAAAGTAGTCCCTGTTCAATGTAGTCCCTATCCAAAGTAGTCCCTATTCAATGTAGTTCCTATCCAAAGTAGTCCCTTTTCAAAGTAGTCCCTATCCAAAGTAGTCCCTATCCTATCCAAAGTAAGTAGTCCCTATTCAAAGTAGTCCCTGTTCAATGTAGTCCCTATCCAAGGTAGTCCCAATCCAAAGTAGTCCCTATCCTATCCAAAGTAGTCCCTATCCAAAGTAGTCCCAGTCCCTATCCAAAGTAGTCCCTATCCAAAGTAGTCCCAGTCCCTATCCAAAGTAATCCCTATCCTATCCAAAGTAGTCCCTATCAAATGTAGTCCCTATCCAAAGTAGTCCCTATCCAAAGTAGTCCCTATTCAATGTAGTTCCTATCCAAAGTAGTCCCTATTCAAAGTAGTCCCTATCAAAAGTAGTCCCTATCAAAGTGAGTTTGTGGTACAGGTGGTAGAGGTAGTAGAGGTTGAATTTGGTGATAGATTTTATATCTATAAGAAATATATATATATATATATATATAAGAAACCCGAGGGATCTTCACTGGGCATGCACAACTGAATTACCTTTATTGGCTTCATTCAAGACCTTACAAGGGAACCCTATCAACAAAATCGAAGATTTTCTGAGAAATAGCAATTATGATCTACAACTATCAAAATCCAAGATGGTCTGTGGGCTGCCATTTTGTTTTCTTGAGCAGACAAATATTGAATGAGAACAACTTGGAACCAAGGAAGACATATACATGAAGTTTGCGATATTTCCAGTACTTTTCTACAAATCCTTTCTCTCCAGTTCCTACCTTATAAACCTATACCTATCTCCTTTCTCTCCAGTTCCTACATTATAACCCTATTCCTATCCTTTCTATCTAGTTCCTACCTTATAACCCTATTCCTATCCTTTCTACCCAGTTCCTACCTTATAACCCTATTCCGATCCTTTCTACCCAGTTCCTACTTTATAACCCTATTCCTATCCTTTCTACCCAGTTCCTACCTTATAACCCTATTCCTATCCTTTCTATCAAGTTCCTACCTTATAACCCTATTCCTATTCTTTCTACCCAGTTCCTACCTTATAACCCTATTCCTATTCTTTCTACCCAGTTCCTACCTTTTAACCCTATTCCTATCCTTTCTCTCCAGTTCCTACCTTATAACCCTATTCCTATCCTTTCTACCCAGTTCCTACCTTATAACCCTATTCCTATCCTTTCTATCAAGTTCCTACCTTATAACCCTATTCCTATTCTTTCTACCCAGTTCCTACCTTTTAACTCTATTCCTATCCTTTCTACCCAGTTCCTACCTTATAACCCTATTCCTATTCTTACTATCTAGTTCCTACCTTATAACCCTATTCCTATTCTTGCTTTATCTTATTTTTATCTATTCTACCCTATTCCCATCCTAGTAATGCTATTCTTTCCATTTCAGCATCTTTTCTTTACTTTAGTTGATATACTTTTTTATATCATGGGTATTCAAATCCCTTCTGTTCCATTCCTAACTTTTTATCATTTTTGTCCACCATATTCCTGTCTACTAATCCCTATTCATATTCCTTCTACCCTATTTCCTCCCATCCTATTCCTATCTTTTTTCTCCATTCCTATATTTTTTATGATAATCATATCCCTTTTCTTCCCTATTTCTATCCTCTCTGCCTTATTTCTTTCCTATCTATCCTATTCCTGTCCTATCTATCCTATTCTTTTCCTATCAATCCTATTCCTTTCCTACCTATCCTATTCATTTTCTATCTATTCTTTTACTACCTATCCTATTCCTTTCCTATCTATCCTATTCCTGTCCTATCCCATTCCTATCTTTCCTATTCCTTTGCTGTTTATTCTTTTCCTACCTATCCTATTCCTTTCCTATCTATTCTTTTCCTACCTATCCTCTTCCTTTCCTATATACTCCTTTCCTATCTATCCTATTCCTGTCCTATCCCATTTCTAACTATTCTATTCCTTTCCCATATATCCCTTCTGTCTAATCCTATTCCTTTCCTATCTATTCTATTCCTTTCCCATCTATCCCTTCTGCCTAATCCTATTCCTTTCCTATCTATCCTATTCCTTCTGCCTAATCCTATTCCTATCTATCCTATTCCTTTCCCATCTATCCCTTCTGCCTTATTCCTTTCCTATCTATCCTATTCCTGTCCTATCCCATTCCTATCTAACCTATTCCTTTCCTGTCTATTCCTTTCCTATCTACCCTATTCCTTTTTTCATATTCATTTCCTTTTTACTAGATTCCTTTTTATCCTCACCAATTGCCACCTTTTGTTTCCTTTGTTTCATCTATTCTCCCCTTTTCCTATTTTTTTTTTTTTTTAGCTGTTCTCATTCAAATTCTTCATATGCCTTTTTTCATATTTCAATCCTTTTTTACCACGTTTTGTTCATCTGTCAATCATTTACTGGATCACATGAAAATCAATCTGCTAGAGAGGCCACTGTGATATACCATAATAATCAATTAACAAACCCAAAGAGTAAAGATGTTAATGTAGGGAGTGGGAGTATTTTAGGACAATGCTATATATTATCTAGAAATTCTTACTCAACTACAACAGAAAGGGTGAGCTTATTGCAAGGCATGTGCTTATTGTGACAAACATTGCAAAATTGTAAATCATTTAGCTGAAAGAAAATTTGAATTGTTTCGAAAATGATTTATGAATGTGATGACTTATATAATGTTGCATCAAATATAAACCCCAGATTCACAATCCTTTAAACAGTATTAATTTTGTGAAATTTTGACAAGATGTTTAATCGTTATCCTGAATTTTGTTTTTAAAAAAAAAGGACTCATGGCACATAATACTCAGCATGATTAATATAACTTTGTAACTTTGTATCATTGTCTGGAGTGAGTATATTGATTATTATCTAAAATGTCAAGGACACTGCAACCTTTGTCCTGGACAAGTCAGGTTTGTGCAGGTGCCTATTATTAGTAAACACTCCTAAGCATTAGTTCAGACTAGCAACTCAATATAGAAACAGGTCAAAGTTCTAAATGGAAAATCCTTTTAATGTGAAATTTAATTTCTAAAATATTCTTGTTGGGTAATGTTTTACCATAGATAACGTTGGAATTTTATAGGTATAGATAATTCTGTTACAACTTTAAAAGTCCCCTAGAAAACAAATTTCTCATTAATAATGACTCCCTAACAAATAACATACACTATAAACTAATTAACTATGTCCCCTGGGGTTCTGTAGGGAACTGGCTTTCTCAGTCCTGGAGTTCATCATAACAGTAGTTTCACATCACCTGAGAATCAGTGTAAACTTTTTTGATGTATTAAGTTTAGGTATGTTTGGTTTGCACCAGGTTAACTTTGACCTATATCCAACAGAAGCCTTTTTGTGTAAATGTAATGAAACATGCCAACATATAAGACGAAAAAAACAAAACAACATGAAGAACACAACTTAAAAGCATACAAAAAGAAATAAAAAAGGATTCCTTACTATCTATTGTAACATACTGATTTCCTACTTCTTGGCTGCCTGACTCACACAGTAGTCTGCATCGGTAGTTTACCGATTTGGAGGTCATTTTGACAGGCGTTGTGATTGTTTCATTAATGGTTATGGTTAGTGTCGAATCAGTTTTGATCAAAATTGTGTTTTCAACTTCTTCCACTTTTCCGTCATCGCGCTTTGTCAAAAATATCAGCACTGAATTGTTAGGAAGCTGTTTCGTGGACACGGTGCAGTTTAGGTTAATGTGCTCACCGAAATACACAAACGGGTCGTCAGGGGTGACACCATTTTCTGAAACACGCATCAAGTGTACTTCTATTGATAAAGGTATAAATTACTATTCCTGTTTTTCTGGTGAAGTGTTGGGAGTATAAAATCAGGCTATATTGTAAAACTCTTTTTGTTATTGAACACTAGGCAGGATATTACTGTTACAATAACAGAGAAATAAGTATCATGAGAAATTCTATGTCAGATATTATTGCCAGGTAATCTGGTATTCTCTAACAGTAGAGAACATCTAATGGTAGGGATATATCTAATGGTAAGGGGATAGCAAATGCCAGGGAAAATCTCTCATAGACGGGATAAATATAATGGTAGGGAATATGTAACAGCAAGGAATATCTAATGGTAGGGATATCTAATAGTAGGTTATATCTAATTGTAGGGATATCTAATGGTAGGTTATATCTAATTGTAGGGTTACCTAATGGTAGGTTGTATCTAATTGTAGGGTTACCTAATGGTAGGTTATATCTAACTGTAGGTATATCTAATGGTAGGTTATATCTAATTGTAGGTTATATCTAATTGTAGGGATATCTAATGGTAGGTATATCCAATGGTAGGTTATATATAACTGTAGGTATATCTAATGGTAGGTTATATCTAACTGGTAGTTTATATCTAATTGTAGGTATATCTAATGGTAGGTTATATCTAACTGTAGGTATATCTAATGGTAGTTTATATCTAACTGTAGGTATATCTAACTGTAGGTATATCTAATGGTAGGTTATATCTAACTGTAGGTATATCTAATGGTAGTTTATATCTAACTGTAGGTATATCTAATGGTAGTTTATATCTAATGGTAGGTATATCCAATGGTAGGTTATATCTAACTGTAGGTATATCTAATGGTAGGTTATATCTAACTGTAGGTATTTCTAATGGTAGGTTATATCTAACTGTAGGTATATCTAATGGTAGGTTATATCTAATTGTAGGTATATCTAATTGTAGGTTATATCTAATGGTAGGTTATATCTAATGGTAGGTTATATCTAACTGTAGGTATATCTAATGGTAGGTTATATCTAATTGTAGGTTATATCTAATGGTAGGTTATATCTAACTGTAGGTATATCTAATGGTAGGTTATATCTAATGGTAGGTTATATCTAATTGTAGGTATATCTAATTGTAGGTTATATCTAATGGTAGGTTATATCTAATGGTAGGTTATATCTAACTGTAGGTATATCTAATGGTAGGTTATATCTAATTGTAGGGTTACCTAATGGTAGGTTATATCTAACTGTAGGTATATCTAATGGTAGGTTATATCTAATTGTAAGGGAATATCTATCTCCGACATGATGTCTATATAATACAAGAGATCCCAGACGGATCTTGGTGCCCACCATTGTTTGATCTTTATATGCTCTATGAAATTTGGATCTTTTCCCTTCTTGTCTCTGTTTTTGCTCTTGATGATAAGACATTAGAACATTTCTTTGCAAAGATAGCAATGATAACCTTTACCTGCCTAGAGACCAAGGGAAACCTACATATGCAATTAGAGGACCAGCAAATGAAGTCAAATTGGCAATATCAGGAGAGAATAATGTCCCAATCCTATCTTCAGAAGCAGAAGTGGTTACCTTTTTGGGATCAGTAAAACAGAAAAAAAGAAAATAACAAGCACCCGATTCTTATTTTAACTTGAGAATCCTTCAAGGTAATCAGGTAGGAAGACAAGAAAGTGGATGTACTTTACAGAGTCTACGTCTGGATGTAAACAGTCACAAGAAGAATTAAAGTCTTGAAACAACACCTACCTACCAGTGAAAACATTATTATATAGTTGTATGTAAGTTGCTTGTAATGTAGTTTGAAGACTATTATGTCAAAAATAGTTTAAAATATTGAAATAGAAACCTTTTTTCAAATCCTTGAAACAAAGGCATGTCAATTAAACAAAATATAAAAGTATGGCATATTTGGCCATGCAGTGTGTGAAGCATCCTTCCTCTCAGTATGCACCTTGCAAAATCATGATCCTGAACTCTCGGGAAAAAAGTCGGGAAAAAAGTTGACATCTCCCTGACTGAACATGCAGGTAAGCACGTACCACTGTAATTATAATCCAACAGGCATCTTTTGCCCATTGAGCTAGAAAACTGTTGTGAATTATAATTTGTGGAACCAGTGTGTCTGTAAATAACTCTTGGTTATAAATCTAAGTGTTTATCAAATGAACTGTATAAGCAGAAAGATACTGTACATGTTAACTCGTTATTCTGGATACACATCAGGAATTTTAAAAACCTACAATGATGAAGTTCTTTATTTCATCATATATATTCAAAGTTACTAATTATACTGGTGATGTTTAACAAAGAGTATCAGTTTCTTTGATAAAGAAACTTACACATAATGCCTATGTGAGTATTTGTCCAATAGCACCCATGAGCATCTTCAAGGAAGAATGATCAAAACACTGACACAGTCATAAAATAAACTGAAATTTTTCACCCTCCCAGCTTAAATTTCACCCTTGGAATTCATAACTAATTACAACCAGAATGTTTAGATTGTAATAAAAATATTCTGCAACGTCACAAACACATCTTGCGGCGATATGGAGTGTTATCAACCAATCAGAAAAAACATCAATAAGACATCAACAATGGTGAATTATCCATGATCTTTCATTGATTTCAGACAATCATTTACTATAATCAATATGTTCACAGTGTGATTATATAGATTAAGATTCTATTGAAGTTCCATGTCATATTAAGGTGCCATTGAAGCAAGGCAAGCAGAATAATGTTGCTTTCCTTGTTAATGTTATACCTGTGAATTAATATGCAAAAAAAATGTTATGAGCTTTGTGAAATAAATAGCATATCTAGAGTTAAGGCTACATGTATGATCTGAGTAATTAATTTACCTCCTTTTTAAATGAATTCTGCCAACCAATAGTGTTACATAGTTGAAAATATGTGAAGGTTACACAATAGCATGTGCTTGAATAAAATGAGGTTACCCATTATTGAATTCTGAATGATCACATAATGTCAACCCCAAATAACAAATCCATAATAACTTGTATAGAATGTATCATGTGTAGGACTGGATACAAATTTACTTTTCATTTGAATACTGTTGTCAATGCATATCTCATTGTAGATATTGGCATATATCTGATGAACTCTCTGTCCACTAAATTGTCTTTGAGACAGCTATAAAACTTGACAGATATTCTTAGATAACTGTCATATTTCAGGTGTTAAGAGTAAATTCTATCAACTAAGTAAACTTAATATGTTTTTATCTATGTTTTCTAATACTACCATAATACATTGTGTGGAGCCATGCTCAGATCATTGTGTAAACATACTAATATCTAATAATCTGTTTATTGATTAACTGAGTTGTTCTTTGACTGAAACTGAGTTTCACACACTTTCGGAAATTAAAAATATGGTATAAGAAGTTCACTAGTGTTTCTGTTATAATTTCACAGGATTTCTATCAATTTATTGCTTTAAAGATAACAAACCTATAATTTATTTGCTGTTATTTGTAATGAATTACAAAATTTCCATTTATTTATAAAATTGTCAGTTTTGCAAATTATTTAGCTGCAATTCACTATAGGTTCATCCTCAAAATAGCTTTTTCATTATGGTAGAAACAGGTCACAAAAATCAAGGTTGCTAGATATGCTATTCCATTCAATGTCATTAGTTATTTTTCCAAAGCTACAAAAAGACACTTACTAAAGCTGTTGTATTTCGTTACGTCTGAAAAAATCCCTAACCTAAATGAAAGAAATAGCATACACAACAAATACTCGTTATGTGATATCTATAACCACTATGCCTCACATAAGTCCTGTAGAGTTTATTACTACCAACTCTGGAAGCCCTGGATCTTTTTCACAATAATGTGCCTGTGTTAACCAGTCAATAATGTTATCATTTTTAAACAGAAATCTTACATGGCATCAATGTCCCTGAGCTATTTCAAGCATCTGTATTTCTCCCCAACAAAGATATTGATTTTCTCAAGAAAAAAATCAATGATACCACTCTAAGAGGATACAAACAACATAACTGATATCACTGTTGGGACGTTTCCTGCATAGAAAAATAAAGACAATCAAATAAAATGGAAATATCTTTGTTTTTGATCACTTTAATTTCAATTATTTCTAAACACTTAAAAGTGTATAATTCATCCATTACTCAATTTCAAATTTCATTAATGAAATACAATAATAAATACTCCAAAGTCAAAGAAAACTTTCTATTATTTAAATGCCCTCACGACACAAACATATTAGCACAGACAGGTCTGTTTCTCAGCTTCTTCTTTTTATTTCTCAGTTTCCTTACAAACACAAAGTACTACATATAGGTAGTATCAAACCATGTGCCTTACATGGTAACTTTATTGGAGGTTGTACTAAAGCACACATTCTAAAAACACCTGTGCCTTACATGGTAACTTTATTGGAGGTTGTACTAAAGCATACATTCTAAAAACACCTGATTTATGGATAAGCATGTACAATATGAAACAGTATATATAAAATTGAAATAAATGAATGATTTGGGTAGGTGCATATTCAGAATATGACATTTTCTGGTATTTCATATTAACTTTTTAACAAATTTGCAGACCAATTCATGACAAGTCTAGCTATCTGTTTCCTATAGTTAAAATCTAAATGTTTGATTTTCAAACCCATTAAATTTGAGCTTTATCACAGTAATGTTAAAATGTTAAAATGTTTAAATATACATGACATTCCTGAATAAGAAAAATAAACATACACAAAACTAAAACATGCATATATGTTGCTATATGATTTGCTCAAGCTAATGGTACACCGATAACTTTGTATCAAATACAGTCAACTTGAAGCATGAAAATGACACTGATTACAATTTATGAAATTTCAGACTTACTTTTTGAGATATCAACCTCCGGAAGACATTTCGGTTCCAATGTACACACCTGGCCACAAATTATCCACAGAAAGCCAAGCAGAACAAACCTCCAATACATGGTCTTTCTAAACAAACACTTCCTTAGGTAAGCTGCTCACTGCATTCTACAGCAACTGACAGCACAATTGCCTCTGTTAAATAAAAATCAATTCTTAAGTAGTATTACCAATATCAGAAAAGGCACAATTATCCAAAAACTGATTTTTTTGTATAACAGAGATAATTATCACAATAGTAAGAAATTAATTTTGAACTTATAGATCAAAGAAAGAGACATAGACTGCATCAGCATCCATTTATTGTCTTCACTCTCCCACCCAAATCACTAAAATTTTGTTTTGATTGAATATATATAGTATACATGTATATTTTATATGATGTCATAGACAGCAATATTTTATGAGCACACAAATGTATACATGACAGCCATTTGTCATATCACTTAAACATATTAAAATCACAGTCTATGTATACAAATTCTAACATATTTTTTTTTGCAAACAATTGCCAATGACTGTTTTGGATAAAAATGCAATTCCATTGTGGAAATCTGAAACCAAATGGTAGGAAAAATTGTTTCAGACAGAATGAAGGCGTTTCAGTTGGAGGCTGACTATCCTAATGCCATCAAATAGTCTTCTATAATCTTAGAGAACATTAGGTATCCCACATGTCTGTCATAAATCTGTAAAGTACAATGTATTGTGTTGTCTACTCTGGTATATCTTTACTTCTCTTAATGGCTTTTCAGTAACATATAGTAAAATAAAAATAATCCAAAAGGAAACTGAAATAAAAACAAAAAATCTAATTTCAGTAAATTACATCAGAATTTCAAATTAAGGCCTTACCTTAATATTTGGAGAAATTGCATGAGAAGTAAAGAGCTGAGATTTTATACTTTTTTAAATACACTCCAACAAGAGTAGTTTATTTTTGAGACAGATGTATATAGTACAGAGGCAATAAAACTACCCACTTTTACTTATATATACCTATATTTTGGCATGAATATCAAAATGTAATCATCCATGACAGATCTTTTCCATCCCTTTCACAAAAACTATTTGGAATTTTGCCTAATGTTATTTTTGTGTGCTAAATATGTTACAAAATTCTTATCTGTAAAGTTTATCTGGCTCCAAATGGGGCCATTTTCCTTCCATCTGTTATAAATTGTCAACACAGAAAGTTGTCTGTGAGAACAAAGCCTTGTTATCCTAAACACAACATAAAGAATGTGCTTCATTTTCTTTCATGCATGATGAAGATTTTCAACACATAATAGCTATCATTTCATCTAGATTTTCATCAAAACTGCTTGGGAAATTTTATTTTTCTCTCAAGTTTTAATATCATAATCAATCATAATTACCTCCCGGAAAGTTGTATACAAACATTTCTTTTTCACTTTGGTCTATCACAACAATTTTCATTGGTCAATTCTGTCACAAGTACAAAAATATCAGTGGCATGTAGTTACCTAGCAACACTTTCAATTCAACAAGAGGCCCATGAGGGCTGTGTATCCTCGTATATTATTCTCGTCTATGTATCGGGCATTTTGTTGATTCATAATGTATCCTAAATACTTCAGCATCATCTTAATAACACTGGATAAGTAAAATTCATATATCTTAAAAATTAATAACTAGTATTTTCACAATCATTCAATTATCACTGACCTTTCATATAAGAAGTACTAAACATTGTTTAAAACATGTCACACACTTGTGAAATTCCAGAAAATATGAAACAGAAAAGATAAGAGATCCCAGCAGGTTGTTGGCATCCACTTTTGTTTGGTCTATATAACATATGTTCATTGAAAGTTGAATCTTTTCCCTTCTTTTATATTCTTTCTTCTGTTGTCTGCTCTTAATTATTTGAAATGTGAAAATCCATCTTAAAAAATTGCATTAATATCCTTATTACTGTGAAGTCAAAATTGGCCCCTTATCGATCATTTGGTTTTTCTTATCAATCCTAAAATCAGAAAGGCACAACCTTGGTTCAAGGGAAACCTAAATAAAAAGACTGAAACTTTGAATCCTACAATCTCAACCTCCAGAGGGAGATCCTAACCTGTTCAATCCTACAGTCTCAACTTCCTGAGGGAGTTCCTAACCTGTCCAATCCTACAGGCTAGACTTCCTGAGGGAGTTCCTAACCTGTCCAATCCTACAGGCTAGACTTCCTGAGGGAGATCCTAACCTGTCCAATCCTACAGGCTAGACTTCCTGAGGGAGATCCTAACCTGTCCAATCCTACAGGCTAGACTTCCTGAGGGAGATCCTAACCTGTCCAATCCTACAGGCTAGACTTCCTGAGGGAGTTCCTAACCTGTCAAATCCTACAGGCTAGACTTCCTGAGGGAGTTCCTAACCTGTCCAATCCTACAGGCTAGACTTCCTGAGGGAGATCCTAACCTGTCCAATCCTACAGGCTAGACTTCCTGAGGGAGTTCCTAACCTGTCCAATCCACAGTCTCGACTTCCTGAGGGAGTTCCTAACCTGTCCAATCCTACAGGCTAGACTTCCTGAGGGAGATCCTAACCTGTCCAATCCTACAGGCTAGACTTCCTGAGTGAGATCCTAACCTGTCCAATCCTACAGGCTAGACTTCCTGAGGGAGATCCTAACCTGTCCAATCCTACAGGCTAGACTTCCTGAGGGAGTTCCTAACCTGTCCAATCCTACAGGCTAGACTTCCTGAGGGAGTTCCTAACCTGTCCAATCCTACAGTCTCGACTTCCTGAGGGAGTTCCTAACCTGTCCAATCCTACAGGCTAGACTTCCTGAGGGAGATCCTAACCTGTCCAATCCTACAGGCTAGACTTCCTGAGGGAGATCCTAACCTGTCCAATCCTACAGGCTAGACTTCCTGAGGGAGATCCTAACCTGTCCAATCCTACAGGCTAGACTTCCTGAGGGAGATCCTAACCTGTCCAATCCTACAGGCTAGACTTCCTGAGGGAGATCCTAACCTGTCCAATCCTACAGGCTAGACTTCCTGAGGGAGATCCTAACCTGTCCAATCCTACAGGCTAGACTTCCTGAGGGAGTTCCTAACCTGTCCAATCCTACAGGCTAGACTCCCTGAGGGAGATCCTAACCTGTCCAATCCTACAGGCTAGACTTCCTGAGGGAGATCCTAACCTGTCCAATCCTACAGGCTAGACATCCTGAGGGAGATCCTAACCTGTCCAATCCTACAGGCTAGACTTCCTGAGGGAGTTCCTAACCTGTCCAATCCTACAGGCTAGACTTCCTGAGGGAGATCCTAACCCGTTTAATTTCTTATGTTCTGTCTATGTTCACTTTCTGCAAGATGTTAAAGCTTATCTATTTATAGAACAAATTTCACATGTAAGAAGAGAGTTGCTACAGGTGCGATCAGACAGATGAAGATGAGAGATATCAGCACATATCATATTGCTTACAAAGCAGTTTTTATTATCTGCTATTTTATCAGAACTGTATTTAGACATGTTAAGCCATATATAACAAAACTAAGAAAGTGAAAGCTTTCAGTAGGTTGTAATCAACATATTATTTTCATACAAGCCATACTTTCCTTAAGTTTGTCTGTCTAAAGGTTTTGTGACCTCATTTGCTGTATGAAGTGAATTCAATCCAATTTCTGTCTTTGATTTTAATCAGACATCATCATTTCAGTAAAGGTTGAGTCAGGCACCATTTTTTTCTGTTAAAAGTTGAGTAAGGCACCATCTTTCTGTAAAGGTTGAGTAAGGCACAATCTTTCTGTAAAGATAGAGTAAGGCATCATCTTTCTGTAAAGGTTGAGTAAGGCACCATCTTTCTGTAAAGGTTGAGTAAGGCACCATCTTTCTGTAAAGGTTGAGTCAGGCACCATCTTTCTGTAAAGATAGAGTCAGGCACCATCTTTCTGTAAAGATAGAGTAAGGCACCATCTTTCTGTAAAGATAGAGTCAGGCACCATCTTTCTGTAAAGATAGAGTAAGGCACCATCTTTCTGTAAAGATAGAGTAATTTCCTTAAGTTTGTCTGTCTAAAGGTTTTGTGACCTCATTTGCTGTATGAAGTGAATTCAATCCAATTTCTGTCTTTGATTTTAATCAGACATCATCATTTCAGTAAAGGTTGAGTCAGGCACCATTTTTTTCTGTTTAAGGATGAGTAAGGCACAATCTTTCTGTAAAGATAGAGTAAGGCATCATCTTTCTGTAAAGGTTGAGTAAGGCACCATCTTTCTGTAAAGGTTGAGTAAGGCACCATCTTTCTGTAAAGGTTGAGTAAGGCACCATCTTTCTGTAAAGGTAGAGTCAGGCACCATCTTTCTGTAAAGATAGAGTAAGGCACCATCTTTCTGTAAAGATAGAGTCAGGCACCATCTTTCTGTAAAGATAGAGTAAGGCACCATCTTTCTGTAAAGATAGAGTAATTTCCTTAAGTTTGTCTGTCTAAAGGTTTTGTGACCTCATTTGCTGTATGAAGTGAATTCAATCTAATTTCTGTCTTTGATTTTAATCAGACATCATCATTTCAGTAAAGGTTGAGTCAGGCACCATTTTTTTCTGTTAAAAGTTGAATAAGGCACCATCTTTCTGTAAAGGTTAAGTAAGGCACAATCTTTCTGTAAAGATAGAGTAAGGCATCATCTTTCTGTAAAGGTTGAGTAAGGCACCATCTTTCTGTAAAGGTTGAGTAAGGCACCATCTTTCTGTAAAGGCACCATCTTTCTGTAAAGGTTGAGTAAGGCACCATCTTTCTGTAAAGGTAGAGTCAAGGCACCATCTTTCTGTAAAGATAGAGTAAGGCACCATCTTTCTGTAAAGAAAAGATAGAGTAATTTCCTTAAGTTTGTCTGTCTAAAGGTTTTGTGACCTCATTTGCTGTATGAAGTGAATTCAATCTAATTTCTGTCTTTGATTTTAATCAGACATCATCATTTCAGTAAAGGTTGAGTCAGGCACCATTTTTTTCTGTTAAAAGTTGAATAAGGCACCATCTTTCTGTAAAGGTTAAGTAAGGCACAATCTTTCTGTAAAGATAGAGTAAGGCATCATCTTTCTG